TGGACAGCCACACACACGACACAGCAGCCAGCACAGCCACACACTGACCAGCTCCACGTGGGGTCTCACCTGAGCACAGGGGCACAGGGGCAGAATCCCCCCCTCCCCTGCTGCCCACGCTGGGGGCTCAGCCCAGCACAGGGGGGGTTTCTGGGGGCCAACACTCATGGCTGGGGCAGCCTGAGCCTCTCACCCACCAACACCCCCAGTCCTGCTCCTGATCCATTCTCTGGGGTTGTGCTTGGAATGCTTGATCTCAAGACTAATAAACCACTCCCCAATCACATTATTAAAGCACACATCAGGCTCTTCAAAACTCCCCACTGCTAGTTCATACTACCATACATAGTGCCATAGTGAGTGGTAGGTTTTGTCAAACATTCAAAAGTACCAAAAAAACAGGTGCTTTCCCTAAGCTGTTGGAGAAACAAAAAAAGTAAATTAATCAGTGTGTTTACTGTGCATTTTACTACTGCTTAGTATCTTCCTGGGAAATGGGGACTGGAAAATGATTATAAATGTAATTAATATTGTCTAACTGACAGTCTGACAAAGCGTTTTCACGCCACCAGCTCACTGGACAGATACAACTCTGCTACAAATTCATTCACAACCAGAACAAAACCACACACAACCACAACCTTCATAAATTATGAGCTTGAAATAAAGATGACTCCTGGCAACCAGGAAAGCTTCTGGCTTGCTTCCTCACATTTTGTTGTTTTTCTGTTAAATATTTTATCTACTGATAAATTTTAAAGGACATTATTTCAGAATCTAGGCTAATAGATGGTGGCTGCTGCACAACAAACATCTGGGGGGGGATATTTACAGAGGTCATTAATACATAAAGGAAAAGAGAAACCAAAGAAAGAGTGAGGGAAAAATCAGCTTCAATAACAACTTATAATAACTGCACTTTTAAATTGAATTAAAACTTTTCCACGTCTATCTGTAAATTATTAAGTGTGGCCCATTTAATTAGAGCAGGTCAGTGCAGAGAAGCCTGAACCAACACGTTCCTCAGCCATTGTGCTGCTTCAGAGCTCACACAGCCATGCTTGGCGTTTTCTTCAGTGACCTCAGGAAATCCAAAAAATGTTCTACAAGTCACTGGGAATGTAAATGGGGGTGATCTTTCTGCAGCACAACTAGAGACAAACTAGAGACAAATTATGCTCCAGGTGACATAATTCACCTCACAAGTGAAATGACAGCAGAGGCAGAACAAGAACAGCAGTCACAGGTAGCCTCAGGGAAGGTGACTCCCATGGGAGTGAAGCGGCAAGGGTGAGTCCATCCTTCTGCAAATGGCCAGAAGGGAATTCCAAAGAGGGCAAACTGCTCCAGACAGTGGGTATTATTCCTCCTCAGGGGAGGAAATGACACTCACAAAAGCATCAAGGAACAGGACACCAGGAAAACCGAGGAGAGCGCAAGGAAACACCACAGAAAGAAAAGAGTTATCTAGAAGGATGCTGCAGTGGAGCAATACAGGAGCCCTCAAGAATGGTTTGGGCTGGAAGGGACCTTGGAGCCCATCTTATTCTACCCCTGCCATGGCAGGGACACCTCCCACTGTCCCAGGGTGCTCCCAGCCCTGTCCAGCCTGGCCTTGGGCACTGCCAGGGATGCAGGGCCTGCCCACCCTGCCAGGGAACAATTCCTGGTTCCCAATATCCCATCCAGCCCTGCCCTCTAGCAGTGGGAAGCCATTCTCTCTTGTCCTGGCACACCAGGCACTTGCCCAAAAGACTTCTCCAGCTCTCCTGAGCCCCCCTTAGGCACTGGAAGGACTCTGAGGTCCCTTCTCTTCTCTTCTCCAGGTTGAATATCCCCAGCTGTCTCCTACTGAATATGAGCGGGAGATCAGGGCAATGGCAGGTGCCCAGGACGCTCCAGCACCCGCAGTACCCCTGGGGTCAGCAGCCGGTGAGGGGCCAGACGAAAAGTGCCCAAAAAATTCCACGGCTGGGCCAGCCGGTGCCGCCATTTCACTCCTGAGGGCTCGGGGCGGGGCGGGGAGAAGCAGGACAGGCGTGGGCGGGACCATAACAGACCCCGCCCCCTCCGCCGGCCGCCATTTCAGAGCCGTGCTGGAGCAGCGGCTGGGGGTGATGGCATTGCCGGGGGGTGACGGCGCTGCTTTCCGGGGCTTCGCAGCGCTCACAGCCGCCGGAGCCTGGGGCTTCAGCGGCTACGGAGCCAGCACTGCCCACTGCGAGTGTATGCGGGGCGCTGCCGCTCACGGCTGTAGCGGGAGAGTACACCCGAGATAAGGCGGCTTCTGAAGCCTCCCTGCTGTTCTCTGTGTGGCGTCTGCGCCATTAGGAATCCATCCATCATTCATCCATCCATCCATCCTTGCCTTCTATAACGCAGAGTGCGCAGCTGAGGGCACTTGGCTCGTTCAGCTGGAGCCCAGGAGACTGAGGGGAGGCTCCTGGGGGCTGCAGCTCCTGCCCAGGGCAGGCACAGGGGCAGGGGCTGAGCTCTGCTCTGGGACAGGGACAGGAGCCCAGCAAGGGCTGGAGCTGGGCCAGGCCTTGGCATGGAGCTCAGGGCAAGGTTCTTCCCCCCGAGGCTGCTGGGCACTGCCCAGGCTCCCCAGGGAATGGTGCCAAGGCTGCCACAGCTCCAGGAGCTGCCAGGGCTGCTCAGGGTGGGGTTCTTGGGGTGGCTGTGCAGGGACAGGGGCTGGATCAATGATCCCTGTGGGTGCCTTCCAATCCAGGATATTGTGATTTTATGATTCTGTGTTTATTCACAGCCAGGTAAGACCATTTGTCCTTATGGTGCTGCTTCCACCCGTCAATTCCCACTGCACATTTCCCTCCTGTGTCAGAGCCACATTCACCAAGGTCTTCCTGGGTCACCCTGTTTTCACTGAGCTTTTTTCATGTTTCAGGATATCCCAAGAAATGGCATGACTGAAAATACCTGAGGCATTCATGTTCCACTATCTTGAGACGATTTCAGACGTGACACTTGGCTTTACCTTGCTAAAGTTCCACATTATCATGAAACCTTCAGGCTGATGTTTTCATATTGAATGGAAACACTATAACAGACCATTAATATATAGCAAAAAGCATAATAACAAAAAGAGATAATTCCTTTAAAAATTGACACACTGTTTCAAAGGACACCTTTTAATTGCCAGCACATTTTAAATAAATGTTTATGGTGATAGATGAAATTATGAGATTGCAAATATGCTGTCAAAAGATAAAGACATCAACACTCTGTGCAGTGTTGTGCTCATGGCCTTGATTTTTGAAGATTTGAGATCAACCTCATGTCCAAGAATGGGATTGTTAATTAAAACCTGGATGATACAAGGAAAACATCGAATTTACAGTAAAAGAAAGCTGCCACTGATGTGAATGACAATATTGTGATTTTGGGGCTGGCAGGATGAGCAAATAACAGATGCACAAACATCTTTAATGTTTTATGAGGCCTTGAAGGATATTTCCAATCCTGTCAGGCTTGGAATTTTCATGTGAGGATTCCCCATCTGGCACTGAGAGCTATTGTAGAGAGGAAAAGAAAATGGCAATGTTTTTAAAATTGCTCTTAATCTAACATCCTCAGTAGGCTCCTGATGGAGCTGAACATTAGGATCTCTGTAATGCTGTGCCCATTGCATATGGCAGAGGCTGGGCTGTCCCTGGCTGTCACATGTGGAAGATTGGGACATGGCCCAATGTAACATGGCCACTTGAAGGGGTTTCTGGGCAGTTAAACCAGAAAACATCAGTGCAGCCATGTTGGGAATTTACCAGACAAGGTCTTGATAGAAGCCACATCAGGATAGGCAGAGAAAGATAATTGTATTTTCATTGAATAATGTGCCACGTATTCCAGTAGACAGAGTACTTCCACATGTGTGCATGGAAATACCAAAGGACACAAACTCCTGTCTTGCTGCAATTCCCATCCTTCAGGTGAGATCTCACTCTTCTAGACTCAAGAAAGGAGCTAGAGGAGGAGAAATTTGATTTTCTGGTATGTCACTCAACTAAGTAAAACTCAAATGATGAGTTGTATGTGAATGAAAAGGAACATTATGTATTGTAATGCAGAAGTATTCTGATTTTTCATCCCCAAAGTTGAGCACCTTAACGCAGCATTTACAGACCTGAAGCTTACATGTCACACACTAAGCATGCTGCTTTGTACTGGGGTATTATTGCAGAGTACTGTTGGCAATGACAAAAAGACTTCTTTTTCTGTAGAATAGTGGAATTTTACTCTCACAGATGTCTGTGCAGGGAAAATAGGTGCAGATACAAAGGGATGCCCTTGGCTACAGAAAGTGAAAACAGAAGAGGGAAAACTGTTGGGCAGCTGGTCCCTTCAGGGCGCTGCAGAATTTCTCAGAGCACAGTGAAGCGCTGGCCACCAGTTTCTCTGACAGGTCATCATTTGCATCTCATTTACACAGGAAGCATTTAATCTGCTAACCGGCATTCCCGTGGGTTGTGCCCGTGAAGATTCCCTGTGCCCGGGCTCCGGCTGCCACTGGCCCTCAGCCGAGGAGAGCCTCGGCTGCCGGGAGCGCTGCCCGCGGCCGCCGGGCCCAGGGCTGCCGTGCTCCATCTCCCACGCGAGCCTGGCTCCCCGGCACAGGGCACCACTCGCGTTTCTGCTGCTCCAAGAGCCTGGCCGGCCACAGGAGGCACGTTCTCCTCCGTCTCCTCTCCACAGAGCAGCCGGACCCGCGGCCGGGGCGCACGGGCCCTTCCCGAAGCCCCGGGCCGCCCCAAGGAGATCACTCTGTTTGCGCGGCCGGGCCCCTCCACCCCGGGCGCTGCCCGCTCCGCGGCCCCGGCTCCGTTCCCCTCTCCCGCTCCCCTCTCCCGCTCCCCTCCCCCCGGCGCGCGGTAGGCTCCGCCCCCGGCCGGCACTTGACGGACGGGCGGAGGAGCCAATGGCGCGCGGGGCACGTGCGCGCGGCAGCCAATGGGTGTCGGCGGGCGGCGCGGGGGCGGGGCCGTGGCGCTGGAGCGGCTCGTTGTGCGCTGCGGACCGATCGCCTCCCGCTGCCCGGGCCCGGCCGCCGCCGCCGCAGGTGAGGCCTGGCGCGGGGCCGCGGCGTCGCGCCTGAACAGCCCCGGCGGCACCCGCGGGGACGGCGCAGGAAGGAGCGGGCGACGAGGACCGGGCGCCCGGGCCGAGGCCTGGGCCTGGCAGGGTAGCCCGGCCTGTGGGGGGAGGGGCCGCAGGGCAGCGCGGGCCCGGGGCGGAGGGCGGGCGGCGGGGTCGCGGCCTGCGGGGCCCGCGGGGGCCGGATGGGGCACGGGCAGAGAGCGGGTCCCGAGGCCGCCGCGTTTGCGGCGGGAAGGCCGCAGGTCGCGGTGCCGCGATGCGCGGCGGGTCCGCGCCGCGGCTCAGGGCCTTTCTCCGTCCGGTTAATGGCCTCATCTTTCATGTTTATTTTTCCCGTGTCTATGCGGACACAGCTTTTAAATCTCCCACGTTGGTTAGGACTGGCACGTCGTTGTTGACTGGCGGTACCCGAGGGTCCATGCCAGCGCGGTCAGCGCCGGCTGGCATCAGTGCTGGCCGCGCGTCCGGGGCTGGTGTGGCGAGTGCTCGGGGCCGCAGGAATCAGAGCTAAAGCGGCAGCCGCTGCTGTTTGTGCTCCTGGGAGCAATTCAGTGCAGAGCGTTTGCTCGGTTTTAGCGGCTGGAGGAGGCAGGACTGTCCTGGGGGCACTTTATCGGCAGTGGGACAGCCGTGGGGAGCCGTGCTCCTGCCGGGCTCTGCACTGCTGGGAGTGCGGGAGCGTTTGTTGGGCACTGAGTTGTATCCGAGACCTGCTGGGAAAGGAGGCACGGTTTCATGAGGACTTGCACTGGGATCCTGTGATCACTTAATGAGGCATCTGTGGAAAACAAAAGAGGAAAGAGTTGGGAAGGGTAGGGATTAATTCCTTTTGTTAACACCTGTTGTTGTTATATTTGATCACTTTTTGAGGTGTTTGTAGTTTTGTTCATTTTACTCCCTGATGGTGGGTGTTGACTGCTCGTGTTGCTCGACTCTCACCTCTTTACGAGTTGTTGTTTCCCTGTACTGTTTTAACCACTTTTTTTTCTGGAGCTGTGTGAACCGTTCTGTGACTTGTTACATTACAACTAGGATGATGCACATGTTCCATAGTCTTTATCAAACCTGTAGAGTTGATGAGATTTCTTAGATTCCTCTTGACTCCTGGGATATGTCTACGTGTGTGATGAATAATAAAATCAAGAGTCCTGAGCCTGTAAGTCTGTGCTGCATGAGATGTTACTGTGAGTGTCCTGTGTTTTGTTCTGAAGCAGAGTAACTGTATATAATGATCCCAGTGCTCCTGTGGTTTCCATTATTCAAGGTGTTCAGCGGTCAGGAGTTACAGCTGTGGTTGCAGTAGGCTCTTTCCAGGCCTGACTGGAAGATGAACAGGAACATCTTAAGCTGGTGTGATTGTTAAATGTGTTGTGCAGTGAGTTTATAGCCCTGCTGTGGGTGGTTCTGCGGGACCAGATGAACTCCTTAGGGAGTTGTCTTGTGTGGTACCAAGTTTGTGAAAACAGCAGCAGCAGTAAACACAGTCCGAATGGAAATGTGAACGTTGTGTGTAGCAGCTTACTTATCTGTGTTTGTTGAACAGTGTTTGGTGCTGACATGAACTTAATGGGAAGTGTGCTCTGTGCTCTGAATTCAAGCACTATTTTCTTTCTGTTTCTTGAATGTTCTATCACTTTTTTTTTTTTCTTCTGGAAAAAGCCCTCCTTGTCTTGACCTGAGACATGCCATTTTACTTTCAGAATCCATCTCTTTCAGCTGTTGTACCAGCCTACTTTCTCTCTTGAAACTTTGGTCTCTGTCTTGTTTCTTGCTTATTTGTTGTGAGCTCTCTGAATTGATTCCCAAAGTTACTGACTGCCACTTACCACATGTGGATAAGCTGCCTGTGAAGTTGGTAGACTTTTAGTCACCAAGTTTAGAAAGTTCAAACTTGCTATGTATTTAGACTTCAAGAAGAAGTTCAGAGAAGCTGTTCTTTCTGCACTTCCAGGTACTTTAGAAGCGGCCTGGAAGGCATTTAGGGAGAATGACAAGAGAGGTGATAAATTTTGACTTGTGCTGAAAATGATCAGGGCACTTCTGTCTGATGAGCAATTCTGTATTCAGGCACCTGCAAGCTTCAAACTGCTGGCCTAAATGAGCCATTTGAGTATACAACCTCGTTATATGTAGGTGATGTATGCAAAAATAGATTCTAATTTTTTTTTTTCTGAGGAGATAGGGTGGAAATAAGCTGTACTGAGAAGGCAGAGATGTTTTTAATGTGTGTAGGTTTGCTGCCTTCGGGGGGCTTTTTTGTTTGTTTTTAAAATTAGTAGCAGTAGTATAGTACTACAAAGGTATAATTTTCCTATCTCCTGCTGCTTCCATGGCCTCCATGTAGGAACACAGCAGCAAACTACAATGTCTCACCAGGCCCTCAGAGATGGATTTCCAGCTAGTTGTTTTGTGCTGGTGAACAAGTTAGATGCTGTCTTTTCCTCCTGCTATTACTTGTCTTCCTGCCCCATCAAGGTAAAGGTATCTGAAGATGGGTCAGTGTTATCCAAGGTTGGATCAATGTGTGGAGCAGCTGTTGTCAGAAAGTGTCTGGAATCCACAGTTCTTATGTCCACTTCTTCTCATCTCCTGCCCTCTCCCTCAGAAAGGAATCATTCCCTCACAGCACAGTTGTCTCCAGATGTCTTTTGTGTAGGTGAAAAATTGCCAAAGGCAATTTATGGACAATCTGACACTGTCTAGAAAAAGGAAGATAATAAATTATTTCCTTTTTTTAAAGATCTGTTTATCATAAATCTGTGTTTTTTTTAATGCCAGTGCAGAAGGTGAGATAGTCCAGACTGTGCAAAGTTCTTTGCTGTCTCTTCCCTGAGTAGGAGTTTGCTGGTGTTAACTGGAGCATCTTTGACCCCGGGGCAGCAGCTGTGGAATCACAGAATGCCAGAGTGGCTGGAGTTGGGAGGGACCTTAGAGACCATTTCTTTCCACCCTGTGTCACAGGCAGGGATGCTTTCCACCATCCCAGGGTGCTCCAAGCCCTGTCCAGCCTGGCCTTGGGCACTGCCAGGGATGCAGGGGCAGCCCCAGCTGCTCTGGGCACCCTGGGCCAGGGCCTGCCCACCCTGCCAGGGAACAATTCCTGATTGCCAAGATCCCATCCAGCCCTGCCCTCTGGCACTGGGAGCCATTGCCTGGCTCCTGTCCCTGCAGGCCTTGTCCCCAGTCCCTCTGCAGCTCTCCTGGAGCCCCTTCAGGCCCTGCCAGGGGCTCTGGGCTCTCCCTGGAGCTTTCTCTTGTCCCAGGCTGGCTCCAGAGCAGAGGGGCTCCAGCCCTTGCAGCATCTCCGTGGCTCCTCTGGTCTCACTCCAGCAGCTCCATGTCCTGCCTGTGCTGAGAAGTGTATTGTGATGTGAAACTCCGAGCAGAGCCTGGTATCCTCTATCTGTCAGGCTGGCTGTTAACCTGGGGAGATGGGGAAATGTGGATCTGGCAGCAGATGTTCAGTGTCTCAGCCACAGGTTTCTGATTGCCCTTGTTCCTACTGCTCAGGCTGAGAGGGGCCCCAGTCCCTGCTGGGTGTTGGACCAGCAGTGGATGGTGATTACAGCCAGTCTGTATCTGATTTCTGACAGCATCCCAATGATGATTAATTTTGTTCCTAGGAGTTGAGTGCAGTTCATCAGACTGGTAAAGTAAGGTCATTGCTCTGAAGAATGCAGCTTATTTTTGGCCTCAAATGCTTTTGTCTCTGAATGACAATACAGGCATTGACAAAAACACCTTGATGATGTTATTATATGAACATGAATAAAAACAACTAGGGGAGGCATTTAAAACCCTTCCAGACAAAGTGGATTGCTAAAACTGCTTTGCTGAAATATTAAAATTATGACAGTTGAGATTTGTTAGACCAAAAATGTGCTCAAAACTAAGTTTATGCCCAGTGTTTTTAAAACAACATTAAAAAAAAATGCTTAAATATGTTGTACTGAAATGAGTGATTCAGCATATGGAAATAGAATTTGTGGAAATGCAGCAGCAGATCTTAGTAATGGCCGCTTCTGGTGCTGAGCTATTTTTACTGGCAAAAGTGTTGGAATCTTAGGTGCAGTGAAGCTGAGGAGAACAAGGGTAGTGTCCTCATTTCAGGTGTGCAAAGGGGAAAAGAATCAAAGAGATGAGATCTGTTATTACCTCTGGAAAACCCAAAGGATAGGCAAGTAGAAAGGGTTTCCTTTTTTCCCTCATACACTGTATAAATGCTGTTCTTGAATTTAAAAGACAATCTGGATTTTGTGATTTCTCCTCCCCCCAAATGGCTTTTGATGTTTGGTCAAGATTTGAAGGGAATTTGAAGGAATAGTGCATGAATGTGTGGTGAATCAAATACCAGCAGGGCTTGCACTGCACTGTCCTTGTCCTGTGGTCTGTGTGTTCATGGAAAGGTCTGTGCTTGTGGGGTGCAATATGCAGAGCTATTGGGGTCATGAAAAGAGTTTGTATAAAGAATAAAAGGAATTTTCTTGTAGATTATGGGGAAAGGCTCTGTGATGTAGAGAAGTCTGGATTAAGTAATGGAGAGAGATGTGTTCTGACTGTGGAGCACTAGGAAACTTTTTTTTTCCCTTGGGAGGCAGGTAGGCCTAGGGAAAGGTTTTCTGCTGGTGTGGCTCTTCAGGCAAAACCTATTCTGTTCCTTACACCAATTTCAGAGAAGACAATATGTTGTTTTTTCTTCCCTCAGTGTCTGTCCTACTCTGTTGTGATTAAACTCTTCCTTCTCAATCCTGGTATGAAGCTGCCTGCAGAGCAAGTTTTTGCATGACAATACTGTGTTGGATAGTTCTTGAAAACTGTTTTCCTGAAGCAGTTTAAATTCATCGAGGCTCTTGAGGCCCTTCTAGGTGTGGCATTGGTTTTGACATGTGTTCCAGCCTGGACATCTCAGCACCTCTGCACTTGCCTTCTGCATGGGTTTGGCACTTGGCTGAATGTAGTAGT